TTAGGGCTGAATTATATACTCAATTTCTTTACTTCCTTTGCAAGTCTATGTAAGAGAAGAAGATGTACTCATTGTAGCAGAATCTCGAACGAATAATGATCATGCCTCTGGATTTTATAGGAAATCTGTTTTTTTTCCTGGTGAAATATTTATGAATTATATACTCAATTTATTGTCTATAACCTTTTTTATTTTTGTTTTGAATGATTTTGTTAATATTGTAGGGATTTGACGCATATAGTTTTTGTGCACTACTTGGAAGTCAAGGTACTGCTCACTTCTATTAAAATCTCCAATTTTTCACCTTTAATTTTTAGAAAGGCTAGATGATTGATTGTTTGCAAGATTTGTTATATTGTAGCATACAGTCTCCATATCCACTGTTCTTTACCAATAACTTTAGATAAGAAATGAATGAAGAAAATTATTTGGTACATCCTTAATAAGCAAAGATCAGGACTCAGGTTGACAGTTGACTAGTTTCTTTGTGCCCTTCAACTCACGTCTGGTTCTTCATTAATTAGAACTAATTCTGGACTGGTTTAAGGGGAGGCGGGGGAATATTTGCGAGTGTAGTGCTGGAGTTGGGGTTGAACTTGGTAGTCATGTGTTGTTTCTTGTATTTCTCTGGACTAATATTCCAACTAACTATTGCCTTTTAAGTATCAACATTGATTGATTGAGTAGTTAGAAAAGAATGATTTTAATTTTAGCTTTTAAACTATTTATGTTATTTCTTTAGTAGCTTGATTTCAACTAGGCCACTGTTTAGGCTTTTTGAATGGTTAATTATTTCATGTGTTAAAGTTCGTCATACTTCAGAGTTCAGACCCCTTTAGTCTTCTTTACCTTCAGGGTAGGACGATTGGAGGCATAAGAGAGACTAGCGATGTATCAAATTCTCAAACAAGCAGTCCTTCAACTTCTAGCTATTCTGTTCATACAAAAGCCCCTTCTGCAAATGCAGATTTAGCAAGCCCTACCAGCACTTTAACATCCTTATGTGAAGTTGCTGATTCTGGTATTTTTTGTCCTTCTTTCCTTTCAAATTCATGCTTTGCTGATTTTGCATTTGAGTTTTATGGGAACTTGAAACTCTTGCAATATGATTATGAAGGTTGGTCATCTGTTCCCGGAGATAGACCTGAGGATATTAAATATGGCACTTGCTTGACTGAATCTCAAAGAGCTCTTTATTTGCAATCTTGGGAACAAGGCTTGGAGCAATATATTCCTGCATATGCTGCTGCTGCATCTTCTAATGTTTCAATGACTTCCTGTCATTCTGATACTACGAGCATCAGCCTGCAACAAGAAAACATGATGGAAGGCAAGTTATTAGCTGTTGAGAGCGTGGACAAGGAGTTTGGATATCCCCTAGAGTTTCCCAAATGGCCTTCGGATCTGTTGTCAAGTTTTGAATTGCCATATGATACTAGGTCATTCGAGCAAAAGACTCATGATTTTCATTTAACTAATGCTTTCGAAAAATTTACCAGTCATGATGTTCTAAATGAGCTGCCTGAGCATAAAACACTTCAAATGCAGCATACCGATGCTGATACTAATTCCGTCACAAAAACATATCCTGAGAATGATATATATTTGGATGGAAATGACAACTATGCTTTCTCTCTGAAGAAATCATTACTTCATGGAGAAGAAAGCTTAAAGAAAGTTGACAGTTTTTCACGATGGGCTACTAAAGAACTTGGAGAAGTAGATGATCTACAGATGCAGTCCTCGTCTGGTTTTGCCTGGAGCACTGTTGAGTGTGGAAATGTATCGGATGATGCCTCTTTGAGCCCCTCTCTATCCCAAGACCAACTTTTCAGCATAGTTGATTTTTCACCGAAGTGGGCTTACATAGACCTAGAAACTGAGGTATCAAAGCTTTTGTGCATCTGGAAAGTTGAAGATTTAATCAATACTTGCTTATTCACTTGGCCTTTTCTCTCTCCAACTTTCTCACTGAAAAATAGATAACTGTCATGTTTTATTGTGCATTTTTCACCTTTATCTTCTTAATGCAATATATGTTGCTGCACATTGTCCTCCATGCTGTAAGTATTTTCAAGGTCACGCAACTGCCCCATTTCCCTTTAGATGTCTATCCAGTTTTCAATTACTTTTGAGAAAACTGGGTTTTTTCCCTTCTCATTTTCTGTATCATGAAACAGGTGTTGATTATTGGAACATTTTTAAGAGTCAAGAGGAAGTATCAAAATATAACTGGTCATGTATGTTTGGGGAAGTGGAGGTTCCGGCTGTGGTTATTGCTGATGGCATTCTTTCTTCTCATGCTCCACCTCACAATGTTGGACAAGTCCCATTTTATGTCACATGTTCCAACAGGTTAGCTTGTAGTGAAGTCCGAGACTTTGACTACCGAGGTGGATTCACTAAAAACATAAATCTTTTTGATATCTATGGTGTTGCTTCAAGAGAAACGCTGTTGCGATTGGAGATGCTACTTTCTCTGAAATCTTTCATTCCTCCTAATCATCATTTTGATGGTGTTATTGAGAAACGAGAGTTAATTACTAAACTCATATCAATGAAAGAAGAAGAGGAATGCCACCAGATTATGGACCCCTCAACCAACCAGGATTTATCTGAATATAAAGAAAAGGAGTGCCTCCTTCAGAAATTGATGAAAGAGAAGTTGTACTCGTGGCTTCTTCATAAAATAATGGAAGATGGTAAAGGGCCGAATATATTAGACGAGAAGGGGCAAGGTGTGCTACACTTAGCAGCTGCACTTGGTTATGATTGGGCAATAAACCCTACCGTTACTGCTGGAGTGAGCATAAATTTCCGTGATGTGAATGGATGGACTGCGCTTCACTGGGCTGCTTATTATGGCAGGCAAGCACCCCCAAACTTACTCTTGTTTGTTTTATATTCAGGCTTAGAGCCTTCAATTTATATTCCGGCAATTCTGACTGAATCGGCTATAATCTGATATGTACTCTTTGATTATGAAATCATTTGATCACATCTCAGGTTTTGTTGCATTAGTTCATTGGCTTATGATAAAATTAAATGTCGCTTTAGAAGCTGAACTTATATTGTTTTTTATTCGATTATTTTTTTTTTTGCAATACTCAGAGAGCAAACAGTTGCAGTACTAGTCTCCCTGGGAGTAGCTCCTGGAACTCTTACGGACCCATCTCCAGAATTTCCTTTGGGCAGAACTCCTGCTGACTTGGCTTCTGGTAATGGATACAAAGGGATCTCGGGTTTCCTTGCGGAATCTTCCTTGACCAGTCACCTTTCTTCTCTCACAATGAATGATCGAAAGGAAGCTGTACGGACAGTTTCAGATCGAATAGCAACTTCTCTGAATGATAGTGATGTGCAAGACATGTCATTGAAGGACTCAATTAATGCTGTATGTAATGCCACACAAGCTGCTGATCGTATACATCAAATGTTCAGGATGCTATCCTTCCAGTGGAAACAGTTGTGCAAGACTGTTGATGATGCGTCCAATGAACATGCCATTTCACTTCTATCGACTAAGGCACGCAGGCCATTGCAAAGTGATGGGGTAGTTTATGCTGCTGCAACACAAATCCAGAAAAAGTTCCGTGGATGGAAGAAAAGAAAAGAATTCTTGTTAATCCGGCAAAGAATTGTCAAAATTCAGGTTCATTGCTGTTTTTATCTTTCTTGGTATCTTCGTTTATATTTTTCTTTTGGAAAGGGGTTATGCCATAATCTGGTTGTCTCTATGTAGTTGCCTTACAATGTAAGGATAAGTCGTCCATTGTCTGGAAAGCTCAAGTGATGACTTTCTGATATGGTGATATTTTCATGGACAATTTTTCCATGCGACTTCTTTTTTCACGAGAACATATTACGATGTCGTCTTTCATATTTGATCATTTGGTTTCTGTTGGCTACTGTGCCCTAACCTTCTTCATTTGTTTATAGCATTTACTTATAAAAAACTGGGAAGAAATTAATTAATTTTTTTACCATAAATGTGAAATTATTTACCTCATGAAAAATTGATTTATTGTTGTATAATTTTATGGTTTGAAGGCCCATGTTAGAGGACACCAGGTGCGGAAACAGTATAGAACGATCACCTGGTCAGTGGGAATTCTGGAGAAAGTTATTTTACGGTGGAGGCGTAAAGGGAGTGGTTTGCGAGGATTTCGACGGGATGCAATTATCAAAGAACCTGCTCCAGAGTGCATGCCCCCAGAAGAGGATGATTACGATTTTCTAAAGGAGGGAAGAAAACAAACTGAAGAAAGGCTGCAGAAAGCACTTACTAGGGTGAAGTCCATGGCTCAGAATCCTGAAGGACGAGGCCAATATCGTAGGCTGCTGACATTGGTTCAAGGAATTCAAGAAAACAAGGTATATGTTGTTTTATTTGACATAAATTTATATTTTAGTAAAATTGGCAATTCAGTAATCTTGATGACGTTAGACAGCCATAACGAAGTCGATCTGAAGATCGATCTTTGCACCTTAAATGACTGAATTGGTTTGAGATACTATCCTACAGGCTTGCAGCATGGTTCTGAACAGTACAGAAGAAGTGGCTGGTTGTGATGATGAAGACCTTCTCGACGTTGACTCTCTTTTGGCTGACGATACTTTTATGTCTTATACATTTGAATAACCTACAGGGGCGTCCAACGTTGTACATAGACCGACAACTCCATTGCAGCATTTTGGAAGGTCACTAACTTCATTCTGTCTATAAATATAACATCCAACTCTTTTAGGTTCTGATGTATAAATTAATACTCTGCTTGGTTTAGGTGACTTGATACACTTGACCTAACTCAATAGAGGAAGCTTGGAAAAATCCAGTCAGATTTCATACCATTTATCTGTGGTAACAGAGCCTTCATTCTCTTGGTACTTCTGAATTTGTAGTAGCAAAAATGTTAATTTAATGGTTTTATGTAGGAAAAGGGGAAATAGAATGAATGAATATACATGAGATTTGAGAATGTTAAGTCCATGTGACAGGAAGTTAGACTATAGATTAAGCATACATGGTGCTCATGGATAGTTCGATTTTTGTTTGTTTATGTTCATTTATCAAACCAAGTAACTGATCATGAACAAGATTGGAGCAGCAATAACGATTGAAGCAGACTGTTCATGTTTTTCGGGGCAAATAATCTTTTGGAGTTGCAGGTACAAATTCAAATGCATTCAGCTCTTCACCTTATTTGGTGATCTTGTTCCAATCCGCGCTTCGGAGGCAGTTTTCGTAGAATGAACAGCACCAAAGCCGATGGAAGAATTTCTACCAACTGTTACACCCACAACAAGAAAGAAAAAGAGGTTAAGCACCATTCGATAAGTTGTTAATGATAAAGTGCTCTAGCTATCATCAAAAGGAAACCTAGAAACATATCGAGTCGTTAAGCAAGTAAACCGATCTAACGTGACCAGTTTAATTGTAGCATGAAGCCATGAACATCAAATGTACCATGTAGTAGATAAGATTTAGGATTGGATGATCCAGAACATCAAGGTCAGCTTTGGGGTCGAAGGCTGAAAGTGTCACCACAATGCATCTTATCAAGAAACAAATACAGCAGATTCCTGTCACAAAGCCAACCTGAGATAGACATTGTTACATTGCTAGCTTTCTTTGCATGCTACTAAAAGAAAGAAAAACCAGTCGAAGACACCATTGTAAGAGGAAAATCGCATACATACCTCGAACAGTTTCTTCTGACGGCCTCTCGATTCGATAGGGAACCGTCTCAACATGAAGAACAACCTACCGGCATAGAAGATTGAAAAGTAAATAGACAAGGAATGGAACCGAAACTCCATCCAGTTGATATCGATTCTTACCTCCCACCATATATCATGAACCCCAATGCAGCAAAAAACGATATGACTGTCAAAACAAGATGAAAAGACCAGACGTGTTCATCAATTCCTAGGAAGCTACTCATTTGTTGAATCAGGGTATAAAGCCCTAACCTGAAACAGAGAGTTTACTGATTTCCACTGTAAGCTGGCTCTCACTTAATCGTACAGAAATCCATAGGCATGCCTGGTAACAGAGGACACAAGTAGACAACTTGGATGAATTTTAGGTGTAGTTTTTAGCTGATGGGTGATTACATTACCTGAGCAAAGTATATAAGTCCGTTGATGCTATAGTATGCAGGCCGGAGTTTATTAACTGGAAGACTTCTTGCCTGTAAAAGAATGATCCCACAAGCATCGATTCGTAAAGTGATGTTGATTACTTGTGTCAAAGGACTTCGTAAAAAGGGATGGTTGTCTACCTGGTGATATATCTCAGCCCAGAAAAGAACAAGCAATGCATATGTCGAGAAAAACAGAAGACCGGGGAGATCCAGAAGCACCATTTCAAGTGCCTGTAACCATAGGTGAACCAAATACTCTTTCACTATAAGTAGCACAAAACACCGGCATGGTACATCGACTCTAGACAACGATCCATACCTTTGAACGAACGAGAAACACGCTCTTGTAGAAACCGAACAGAACGGCCCTCACTGTTGAAATGCAGCACAAAATCTGTTAGCAGAAGTTATAAAACGGCTTTCGTCATAGCTATGCAGAAAACACACAACCCTTACATCCATTCACAATGAAGTTCATCAAGTGGAAAACTTTCTGCGTTGTCCACCCAAACTCTGGCACTCTCAAGCGAGTACGACACAGTTGTACCTAAAACTTAGAAGCATTAATGTCATTAGTCGTACATATCAGTGTCGAGATTCACAGCAGTCCATGAGATTGGGATAGTAAAGAATAACATAAACCTGTTACTTCTAAACCATGAGTCGATTAATCGGAAATAAATGATTGGTATGATTTCCATCTATGTTATTCGAACTCTTCATTTTTCTTAAAATATCCACAGTTATGATACTACCAATATGTGAAACAACTTTGAGTATAAACATGTCGAAAAACGCATATCCATATCAAACATTATTGAAGAAGAGCACTTAAGCACTTGTTACCTAAAGGAAAGAAAGTGGCAAAACTTGTTCAAGGTATTGAACTGAGCATGCTTGAAGCAACATAAAAATGGGTATCTAATATCGATAAAATTAAAGGTTAAGCTATACTGATCAATGAACCTTTAGGAAACTTTGATTATCGAAATCGAAAAAATTTCATTTCAGTCAATGAACCGTTAAAATCATTAAAGAAAATTGAAGTGGTACATTAAAAAATCTTGCCAGTCATTGCTGTTTCTTCCGTTGTTGTTTCTGCCGCCGCTCGATAGTTTTTCTAGTCGAAAATATCACCGAAGTACTTTTTCTTTCATTCATTTCAAACCCGTCGGAAAACCTTTTAATCTTCTGAAATCTCAGTCGAAAGTGAAAATTAAAATTTTTCGATTTTCTACTGTCATTGACCGTATGATCAACTTGTAATCAAACTATGTTTATTTGGCTATTTCTAGCCAAATGAAGTTCACATGTTTGATATTGATCCGCGATCGTTCCTTTCATCGAAAACTTGACATTTCCGGAGACTGCTAATTTAAAACTTTTAATTTTTTTTCTTTTTGCAGAATGAGACTTTAACACGTCAGAACAACTATTTTTTTTTCTGAGGGTAACTAACGGGAAACTAATTAGAAATTTAATGACTTGTAATACAAGTTCTAAAATTCAGTGATCATCAAGGTATTTTAATTTTTACCCTAAAAGTAATTACTCTCTCTTGTAAATACAAATCACTATTTCTATCAAGCAATCAAGGAGCCAGAGAGAGAGAATCCTGAATTTTATTATGAAAGGAAATTGAAGACAAAGATTCAAGCTTACATATCATTAGGGACATAAATGAGAGAGATATATCGGAGCTACTTGAGATTAATTCGGTCGAAGTTTGATAAATACTAGACTTGAATGGACTCGAACTCGAGCTCGGCTTGAGTTCTTCATGAGCCGAAACGAGTTACCTGATACTCGACTCGAAAAACTCGCGAGCAACTCGAAAATATAATATATTAAAATTTATTTTTTAAAAAGAATAAATTATTAATAATATTACATTTATGTATGTGTTTTTTTTAAAAATACTGTATAATTTTCATATATTTAAAGTTCAGGTTCGAGTTTGAATTTGAATTTTCAAGAGTTAAGTTAAAGTTTTTTTTTTAGTTTTGAGTTTTTACGAGCTTTAATTCATAATTTCGAGTTCGAGTCGAGTTTGAAAATTTTAGGCTCTTGATTTTGAAATTGAATCGAATTCATTTTAGAGTTTTCAAGTCGAATCAAATTCAGTGATATGGAGCTCAACTCGGTTACACCCCAACATGATATCACATGCATGCATGCAATCAAAAAAGTCATCTTAGATCACATTGTTCTTTTCACAAATCAACAAAAAATGCAGCAAAGTAAGAAGTTACCAGGGCAACAATGGAAACCAAAGCGTATGAAGCTGATAACAAACAGAAAATGAATCTCTGCCATCCCTCAGATTCGTCAATCTCATCCCACCAATCAAACATCATTCCTCCACCTTTCAACCATATTTCCTCGGTTAAAACAAAACCCTTTACTCTCACCATTTTAGCCCTGCAAACAATGACATCAAATGAAAAAAAACCCAATTAAAAGATCAAAAAGAGAGAAAATTTTATAAACCCATAGGGCAAAGTTCATACAAAAGAAGGAGAGATCAAGAAGAAAATGTGGAGGAGAGAGATAATGTAGGATAGCCGGTGGCATATTCGTTGATTTTCGGAACATACAATGCTTTTGGCTTTGGTAATGGTGACAAATTACAAACTGTGATTGAATCGATGGTGAAAGCTAGCCAGTTATGGCTGTTTATGTAACCCCTTGCTGAGAAGCTTCGGAGTTCTTTCTTCCTTTTTTGACTCACTGGGCGGTGGCAGCCATGGCCTGATGGTGAGACATTTAAAAATATCATTATTTAAAAGTAGGGTAGAGTTCACAAATAGTCTTCCGACTATAGAATACTGTATTATTAAGTCTATCAACTATTAAAAGTTATAAAGTAGTCATTCGACTATAGAAAATTACTTTATTAAGTATCTCGACTATTAAAAGTTATAAAATGGTCACACAATTATTCATTATGTAAAACTCGTACTTTTTCGTTAAAAAATGACAGTTGTCTAAGCTGGACGTTAACATGATGACTGAGATATGATAGTCATTTGAGATTCTGGTATCAGATTTTATCATATCACAGTCAGTAAGTTAACGTTCAACTCAGAATACCATCAATTTTTAACAGAAAATGATAAGTTTTGAACATAATGAATAAACGAGATGTCATTTTGTTAGTCAAGGAACTCAACAAAACAACACTTTATAGTTGAATTTGTAACTTTTAATAGTCGAAGACTTAATAAAATAATACTATACAGTGGGGACTATATGTGTACGTAACCCTTAAAAATATTGATATATCCGATAAGTAGCAGATGCACTCATGGTTGAGGGTAGGCACGTGTCCACCATGAAATTCGAATTTTCTTCGATTATACACATATTTTATTGATGATGTCCATCCTGGAATTTTATTGTGTCCACCCAGAGATTTGAATTCTCTTCAATTAGTTACTCATTTCATTTATGGAATATATAAGTGTCTATCCTAAAAAATATTTTTGGACTCGCCACTAGTTTAATCAAGTGACCCTAAAATTTTTTAAAAAAATTATTCTGCTTTGAAAATATAAATTTAGAGTATCGAATTTAAGTACGAGATCTACAAGAATATAACTTATTTAATTATATCGTCATTTTAAATATGTATCATATCATCATCTTAGCTACAAGGAAAGTTAACATTGAAGAAATCACTCGAACAACATGTTATATAAACAAAGACGTTTCTTTTGGAACGTAATTTTTAAAAGTCGTTGCTACATAAGTGTGCTTTTGTAATATATATATATATATATATATATATATATTATTTTAGTTCCTGAAGAAATGACTGTTTAGTATTATTAGTTTTAGCATGAAAAGTACTTCTATATCCAAAAGCAGTAGTGTCATCTTGATGTTTGCCAGTTGAAGATTAAACAAATGAGCTGACTTCAAAGTGAATTCCACTTCCAGAGGTGGGTGACTGATCCAAGGATTCCAAATTACCAGTTTCTGAACCACTAATTTAATGGAGATTGAGAAAGATAAAGAAAAGAAAAATAATACCTTTCTTAATTCTTAGTACTCAGTAAACAAATAAGAGAAACCAAACCAAAAGTCAATAAGGGCAAGCTCTTGCCTTTTCCTCGTACACTTTGTTATTTTCTTTCTCCCTTAGCCCCTCCAAAGACTTTAATTTCATTCTTGTCCCTTTTCAAGGTATCGTCATTTCTTCTCTGCTGAAAACAGAGGAAATAGTCTGTGTGGTTTGTTTGTCTCTTCTTTTCTTCTTGGGGATTTGAGTGTTCTGGTGGATCGGTAAGGTGAATTCAAAGTTACCCATTTCATGATTTTGTATCGATTTCTGTTTGTAGGGATTTAGGGTTGTTGGTGGAGGGTGGCCTGTTTTTGATGATCAAGAAAAATTCTTTCTTTGATTATGCAGGTTGAGGAATTCTGGGGAAAATTTTGATTTCTTTAGATGTTGAATGATAACTGAAGAAGGTGAGAAATCTGGAGAGGGGTTGAATTTTATGGATACCCTATATTGTTTCAACTCTGTATATTCCCAGGTCAGCTTATATTCAGTTCAGTCCCTTCAGTTTAGATTGTTTCATCATATTGTTTCATCATATGTTTATATAGATGATTGGATTTCTTTGGTTGGTGATTTTGGTTAGATTTTTGTAAGGACATTATCTAGTTTAGTGGTACCTTTGATTTCATGCAAGATTCTGTGTTCTTTCACTTCGAGTGCATAAGCAATTGCTAGCTTAAGTATCAAACCTTTTCTGGGTTGTTATTACCTGCATTACTCATCGTTTGTATTCCTTCTATTGTTTCGGTTGGAAGCATCGGAGAACATCGCCAGCCTTGTGCTCGTGTTGTGCAAATACTGTTTCATTTACTATCACAGCAATGGCTTACCATGAGAGAGTGCTCTTCCCGATTTCGGTGGTTCATGGTTTTTGGGAATCATCCTAGTAAAAGGCAAATCAAATCATCCCATGGAGGATTATCATGTTGCAAAGTTTGATCAGCTTCGGGGACACGAACTCGGACTTTTTGCTGTATATGATGGCCATTTGGAGATAGTGTACCATCTTATCTGCAAAAGCATTTGTTTTCCATATCTTGAACGATGTGAGTTATCGATTAATCCGATATTAATAATTCGTAAGGGCTTAGGGGCTCTGGATACCGCAGTCAAAGCGAATGTTCCGGGGATAATAAACTGAGATGATGGTTCTGTGATTCTTATTATGATAGCACCGAATTCCGGGCTGTGTTAATTGGTTGTTAAATATGTCCTTGTGCCATATAATAACTTGTAGGAGGAATTTTGGACCGATCCGGCAGGTCCATCTCTAAAGCTTACGAGAATACAGACTAAGCGATTCTCTCACACAATCCCGACTTGGGTCGAGGGGGATCCTGCTGTCACTGCAATTTTGATAGACGGGCAGAAATTATGGGTGGCCAATATTGGAGGTTCGCGTGCTGTTCTCTCAAAGAAAGGGCAGGCGATACAGATGAGTATTGATCACGAGCCGAACACAGAGCACGGAAGCATCGAGAACAGAGGTGGCTTTGTCTGTAACATGCCAGGTTCTTTCACAACTCCCCTGTGCTTATGTATGATTTTCTCTTTAAGGAAAATTCGTTTCTAATATCACCGAGCGAAACTAATCAGCACCATATCGGTATAGTTATTGCCTCCGAATGCAGATGAATCAGCACTAAAATTTTGTATGATAACGACTTACTGGTACTGTTGTAATGTTGTTGATAGGAAATTGATCTTGTTGCATTCTTTCCCAGGGGATGTTGCAAGAGTCAACGGACAACTTGCTGTTTCTCGTGCTTTTGGAGACAAGAATCTTAAATCACACCTCCGATCCGATCCGGACATGAAAACTGCTGATATTGACTCGGATACTGAACTTCTTATCCTTGCAAGTGATGAAGTATGGAAGGTGATCCACATCTCTCTCTGCACGGACCAATAATTTCTAATTTGTTCTCATATTTTATCTGCAAATTTATCCTGGTCACGTCCAACCAAGAAGCCGTCGATACTGCGAAAAAGACCAAGGATCCGCTGCCACCAGCTAAACAGCTAATGGCCAAGGCATTAAACCGAGACGGCAAAGATGATATCTCATGTATCATAGTTCGTTTCAAGGTTAAACGTGAAACCGGAAACGCAACGAAGAACAGTTCTTCGATTGCGTAAAATACGAATCAATGGGTAAACACCAACTAGCAATCTCATTAGAAGATGCAAAAGGTAATAATTAACGGTTGATATATGTTAAGATCAATGTGTTAGTTATTTTTTTGTTGAATTAATACATTAAAAGCAATCCGTCACCAAAGCCCTTA